TTTACATTATTTATCATACAACATTTCACCGTATTACTTCACACGAACTGTATTCTTTCTTTGTACCAACTTCCTAAGCAAGGCACATACACTGATAACACCTTAGGCAAAGCTCAAGCGTTCACGATAGTACCACCTGCACAAAAACGCGTTTGCGTTACAATAGCCCAATCCAGTCCAACCAAACCGACACATAGAAACAAACTGATCAAAAACCAAGATCTTGTTTTAAATCCTTGTAGATATGTTTTGAAAGGAACCTAATCGAAACCGAGACTAAAGCCATACCAAACAGTATTTGGTTTTCTTATATCTCGTAAACCGAAAAATCAGAGGAGAAACCAAACCAGTAAACACCTCATGTTAGACACCGTACCGTTAGGATGGAGGATTTGGCCGGTGTAGTAAGAAGAGCAATCGTTACAAGCCAAGAAGACGTAAGAAGGAGCCACTTCCACAGGCTGAGCCGCTCTTTTCATCGGCGTCTCTGACCCAAACTGCTTTATCGCTTCCTCGGAGAACGAAGCGGTTATCAGTGGAGTCCAGACCGGACCTGGAGCTACTCCGTTGACACGTATGCCCTTTGGTGCAAGCTGAAGAGCTAAGCCACGTGTGAACGCGACGATGGCTCCTTTCGTAGAGGCGTATTCTAGTAAACTTGAGTGACCTGTGTATGCTACAACAGACGTCGTGTTGATGATACTGCTTCCTTCCTTCATGTGCTTCAACGCGTACCTATACATTCAACAACATTCACAAGTTTTTTTTTTTTTTTGGGTGCAAATGTGAAGAACATTCACAAGTTATTCTCCAAACCGAACTAAACCGAGCTAGAACCGGAGTTGATTTACTCACTTGGCTAAGAAAAACTGGGAGAAGATGTTGGTACGAAACACTCGCTCAAGCCTGGCCTCATCGATCTCTTCGATGGAAACCTCATGCTGCTCAGCTGCACAATTGACAAGCACGTCGACGCGTCCAAAGGCGTTGACAACTTCCTCGACGACCCTTTTGCAGTTCTCTTCGAACCCTAAATCAGTAGCGATCATGATCGGCTCTTTAGCTTCCCTTGTCTTGACCTCGTGCAGCAAACGCAGCGTTTCGTCTGCGTCTTTGTCCTCTCGACCTTTAAGGTAAGTGAAAGCCACGCTAGCTCCTTCGAGAGCGTAGCAGTAACACACAGCTCGACCTATCCCCGAGTCTCCTCCTGTCACCAGCGTCACTTTTCCCTGCCGATAGTTTCATAAATTGATACCTTGTTATACAAGTAATGTAAATGTATGTACGTAAGACAACTATTTCGGTTTTAATCTTAAAAAAGTATTATCAGTTTGTATTTGGATATAGTTTTTTCTGATATTTGACTTCGTTTATAAAAAGAGATCCAAACAAATGGGAAATGAAGAGAACAAACAATTGAACGCCTACATGGAGTTTGTTGGAGGGTTTATAGTTAGGGCTAGAAAATTGAGGATTTGGATCCATGACATGTTGAATCCCTGGTTGTGTCTCTTGCTTCTGCGGTGGAAACCCGCTTGCCATTTTTGCGTTTTTCTTTCTTTTCACACTGAAAAGTGTTTTTGTTTTTTTTGGTGACTGATAAAATCGGCAGTCATCGAGAGAAACAAATTAATAAGCGAAAGAAGCCGTACAAACTGTGAGCTTCTTTGAATGATGCACCACGTTGCATCTCTATTATGCTGACGTGGACAAGTCTCGCATCCACGGAGAAGTCCACGTAGTGAATATCAGCTGTTTGGATAACCATTAGTTTAATTGGATGTATACAACTTTGACAACATAATATAAAATAGTAATGTGTACAAAGTTGCATGAAATAAATGAAAATGTGTTCATCTACACTCTACTCTCAAGTCTCAATCAACATCAAAAAGTTGACTATTGACGAGGACTAACAATCGTAGCGAGACCTTAATAGGCCTTGGGCCATTACTTTAAGCCCAATTTCAAAAAGTCAACTTATCACCAATGACGATAAGGAAAGTGAAAGAGTTGATGGGGACAGGAATAAATCGGAGACAACGAAACAGAGAATTGGGAGGTTGACCCAAACTGATTTTACATTACAGATCCGGTCCGAAGATGTCCGATCTTCCGAGGGAGATGGAGGAGGAGGTGCTATCGAAGCTTCCGGTGACATCTCTGGGAGAAGTACGATCAACCTGCAAAAAGTGGAACAGTATGACGAAAGGTGAGAGCTTTTTGAAGAGGCACATGAGTGAAGCAGCAGAAGGAGAAGCAAAGAAGAAGCAGAAGCAGAGCAAGGGAATTGAAATCAAGGTGGTGATATTGCTGGAAAAGAGAGTGTCTTTGATGAGCGTCAATCTCCTCTATCCATCTATAGAGCCTATAGGTAATATCAACGCAGATGGAGTCGACATATCTAAAATCATTCACTGCGACGGTTTGTTCTTATGCATCACTGAAGAGGAAAACTCCTCTAGGGTTGTTGTGTTGAACCCTTATCTGGGACAAACAAGGTGGATCGAACCCAGAACTTCTTACCACAGATTCGACAGTTACGCTCTCGGATACGATAATAAGAAGAAGCACAAAGTCTTGAGATTTGTGAATGATTACGACCCGAGAGTCAAGCACCGAGTTTGCGAGTTTGAAATCTACAGTTTAGATCTAACTCATGGAAGCTTGTTGATGTCGGTCCCGACCTCGACTGGACCACTTCGTTTATCTCCGTGGCTTGTCTCTAAAGGGCAACACTTACTGGTATGCTCGTGACAAGTTGGCATCAAGTAGGATAGATGTCGCTGATTTCCTAATCTGTTTTGATTTCGAAACGGAGAGGTTTGGACCGCGCCTGCCTCTGCCTTTCCACGGTCTCGTTGGAGACACGGTGACTCTTTCAAGTGTTAGAGAAGAGCAGCTCGCGGTGCTGTTTCAGGGAAAACCGGTGCACCTGTATACACGGTCGAGATATGGATTAGTAGTAAGATTGAGCCGAATGCAGTGTCGTGGAGCAGCTTGTTCTTAGCTGTTGATATGAGACCACTCATTGGTGTTCGGTTTAACAATTACGCTGCGAGTTTCTTTGTTGACGAGGAGGAGAAGCTCGCGGTGGTTCTTCATAAAGACAGAGGTAGTCCTGGCCCAACAACTCGCAACACGGCTTGCATCGTTGGAGATAATGGCTACTTCAAACAAGTTGATCTTGGCGAATCTAAACAGTATTGTTGTTTTCCCCTTGTGAGCTCTTATGTTCCTAGCTCAGTGCAAATCGAGCAACCTGCAATACTGGGCAGCCAGAAGAACACACCTTAATCTAAGAATTTGTACTCTAGTGCTTATATAACTGATTTACAACTGTTGGTTCCTCAACTCAACATAGCCTCTGCGTTCTTCTTTTTATTTTGTTATGTCCATTCAAAATACTGTACAAGCTTTTCCCTTGAAAGCTTTTTTAATTAGCTGAGAAGAAAAGAGTGTTGCTGCCCTTCTTAACTCTTTTTTAGCCACCTGACTTGTCCTGTACATTTTTGTTCTGTTTTAAATCTGTTGGTTTGGTGGTTGTGCCAAGAACTCGATTTTGTTCTTCTTAGGGACTTAAAATTCTCATCATTGAAGGAGATGTTGTTGGAGGGACTTGGGTCTGTGTGCCGTCCAAATCTGTTGTTGCTTTGCTGTAGTGGCAGAATGCAGGAACTCCAAAGGACTCCTACTGTATTTCTCCACTCCAAGTATTCTCTGTATAAAGTTGTTAGATATGTCTTTGGTAATTACTGAAACGATTGTTTAAGCTAAAGTTTGAAGCTAATGAACCAGTGTACTCATTCTGGCCTTTAGTTGGTTCCCTTGGAAAACAGGTTGGTTATGATCAGATGGTTGTGGCAGACCATGCTAATAAGTAATAACCACCAAAATTTGAAACAACATTAGAGCTATTTATGCATTGAGTAAGAACATTTGCTTTTCATATTTATGTAGAAGTGGAAGTGGAACATCCTTCCTACGTGATTAGTGATGCTGTTTTCAATAATTTGATTAGAGGATAATATGTAGATTAGTGTCGTTTTTGTCTTTTCTGGTAATTTCAGTTTCATTGTAATGGGCCTCCACCTGTGAATTGAGACAAACTGTAAACAAAATGTATACAATGCAAGCAGTGAGCTGTTCGGTGCCTTCTGTTTTGAGTCTTTTGAGTCTCTTTGCATTGCACCTCTTCATCAGTAGTGGAAAATGCGACTGGCTTGACAACAAGCATGCTGTCGTTGTCAGTTTTCCTCCATTAAATTCTTACTTCTCCTTTGTGGTGGTGGTAACTGAGATTTGCGTTGATAACAAAAAGGATCTCAAAAGCTATAATTAGCGAGGAAGAGGCATTGAGTCATGAATCCGTTTGCACATACTTGGTATTAGTGTTGTTATGACTCATTGCTTTATTGGTCGTGCGGAAGATTGAGAACGTGGCTATTGTAATTACAGAGTTTGAGGAGGTGAGAAATGTTTAACCATCACTTAACCTCGTGTAAACTTTGGTTAGAGATCAATAACTTGCTAGTGATAGAAATATATTCATTCCTATTTACTAAAGTATGTAAACTGTCATAAGCAAAGGAACTAAAAAGAAAGACATATTCACAAATTCATTCCTATTTGCTAAAGTATGTAAACGTCATAAGCAAAGGAACTAAAAAGAAAGACACATTCACAAGTCTCATCTCACAACATGTTCAAAAACTAAACAATTGACTACATATCTGTGTTAACATGTTCAAAAACAAAACAATTGACTACAATCTGTGTTTTTGTTCTGATACACATACTCGGAATCCATGCTTTCTTCAAGTGTTTGTAACAATGGGTAGCTGGATCAGAAAGGGATAAATCACATAAGCTGAATCAATCTTTGAAAGAAAATTGCATAAGTGTATAGAGAGATCAATTACCTTGTCAGGTAAGAAGGTAACTACGCTTATCTTTTTCCAAGGCCTTCACTTTGGTGGTCATACCATCAATCAGTTTTGTCCAGAATATCCTGCCCGCTTAAACCTTCCTCTTTAGCCTTGTCGACTTCACCATCTCTGCTAGCAAGAATATCAGACTGAGCAATATCACCTGCAAAAGGAAAATTTGTCACTAAACACCAGATGAATGATGGCTTCTCAAAATGAATGTTAATTGGAGCTAAACCAGGAAAAGCACATTGGGGCAAACTTCTAAAAACTAGGCATGCTAAAGTAAGAATCTTGGAGAAAAGTAGATTACTGAAAACTATTCCAAAGCATGTGTAAAACTATAAAAACTCACCAGGAATTTTGCTCTCAGCTTTCTCTGCGCGTTTTATTTTTTTGTGCGCTCCTCTAACAGCACTGAAACGATTTCCCTCCTGTTAAGCGAGCAAAACACAAAAAAAAAGAAAACGATTTTCCGTCATACAAACAACTGTAGGAAACATATAAATTCAGATACTCTCTAATAGTTTCTATGATCTTAAAGCAGAAAGTGTAGTCACCTTTTCACAGTCATCAATCCTTCTTTCTTCGTTCTTCTTAAACACCCGTTTCCGTTTCTTCATTTCGCTGGACTTCAGGGGATTCAGTGTCTTCACTTCAACTTCAGCCTATGACCATTATACAGTAGAAGACATAAGAATACTTTGATACTCGCTGACTCAGAGAGATTACACTAGAATCTCATTACCTCTTGGAGAATGTCAAGACCGTCACATCCTTCGCTGGACTTCAGGGGATTCAATGTCTTCACTTCAACTTCAGCCTATGACCATTAAACAGTAGAAGACATAAGAAAACTTTGATACTCGCTGACTCAGAGAGATCACAATAGAATCCCATTACCTCTTGGAGAATGTCAAGACCGCCACATCCTTCGCTGGACTTCATTTCGCTGGACTTCAGGGGATTCGGATTCAGTGTTTTCACTTCATCTTCAGCCTATGACCATTAAACAGTAGAAGACATAAGAAAACTTTGATACTCGCTGACTCAGAGAGATCACACTAGAATCCCATTACCTCTTGGAGAATGTCAAGACCGCCACATACTTTTTCCAAGGCATCATCACGTAGATCAGAATGTAAACTACTTAGAGAAGCGGCAGCCGCAGGAGCAATATCGGTAGCAGGGTGGTCAACTGCAAGATCCATGGCCCAAGCAGCTGCAGCGACAGGAGCAGCAATATCAGGAGGATAGTCATCACCATCTTCGGCAGCTTCTTCAAATTCGTCTCCACTACCCCCGTCTCCATCATCGTCGTCTCCACCACTCCCGTCATCATCATCGTCCTCTCCGTCATAGTAATCATCGTCGTCTTCATCAGGGTCTTCAACTTCTTCTTCAACATCTTGAGCATTGACTTCCTCGTGTATTACCCGATAGTGAACTAGGCAGTGATTCTGAAAGTTTGCCGACGCATACCTCCTTCTTTCAAGAGTCCTCTTCACTGGAAGAGTTTCAAAGACATTGTACGAAGCTCTGCACAAGATGACTACTTCTCTGACCACTTCGTTGTCCTCCCAAGCAACAACGGCATCTTCTTCATCCCATTCTAATTCATCTATATTGCCATCACTTCCATAGAGGTACAATCCTTCTGGAGATGTCTTGATCGGTTCAGTTGAAATTTGGAGTTGATCACCAGATTCAAATAGGGTCTTGACATCGTCGTAAGAAAACCATTCATTCCAAGAGCTCTCTATGATGTTTGCTAGATTTTCATCTAAAGAAAGAAAAAAACTATAGTTATCTTTCTAATGGAGGCGGTTTCAATTCCTAAATAATACAAATCGAAGACGGAGAAAAATCTTCCGTACCTGTGTAATCCTGGTGCTGCAAGTTGACCGCCATGGCACAAAGACCTAGAAAATAAAATCAGCACCAAGACCTTAGCGATCAGATATGATTCGAATCTCAAAATTCGTGGATTCCGGAAGAACAAGGATGATGAGCAAATAAAGAGATCACAAGAAATTATGAGGAAGAAGACGCTTACGAAGACTTCAAGTTCTCGATCACGCTTACGAGTTACGATTGTTGTTGCAGGTTTCGCGAAGAAGATGATCACAAGAAATTCGCAGCAGGAGGACGCATTTGATCTCTCTCCCTCTCAGATTGTGATTCTCTGCAAAGACTTCAAGTTCTCAATCACGCTTACGAGTTACGATTGTTGTTGCAGGTTTCGCGAAGAACAATGAGGAAAATGAAGAGGATCACAAGCAATTCGCAGCAGGAGGAGGCATTTCAACTTCTCAATCTCTCGATGATGGATTTTGATCTCTCTCCCTCTCAGCTTCACTGTGTTCGTCTCTTTATCCCTCTTCAAGCTTTTCTCTCTCGCGCGCGGTGTTGTGATTCTCTGCAAGTTGCAGACTGTAACAACTTCTGTTACTGATAAACCAATAAGGGATTTTAAAAAAAATGAAAAAGAAAAAAAAAGAAGAAAAGGTAAACCAAGAAGTATTGGGCCTTAAGTCAGGTGGATTTATATCGACTGTTTCTTTATGGGCCTCAAGCCCAAGTCTTCGAGCGGTAAGAGCTCCTTCTTTGCATTATCGGTTTCCTTGTTCAGCTCCTCAACGGCTTTGATCCCTCTGTCTCTGCTCATTCTCTTTAAGCCGTGAATGCTCTCTCTTCACGTTTTGAAGCTCGAGCCTAAAAGACTCCATCAATACACACAATTCAGTCTCCTCTTCAGTCTTCAGCTACTCTGTGAAGCGATTCCTTAGCAACGCCTAGCTCAGAAGTCACAACTCTCTCATTACTACTCAAATATAAACCCTTGTCAGCATTTCTCATATTCTGCCAAATTCCCGATTCACTCTCTTCTTCGGCTACTCTTTCAAGCAATTCCTTAGCAAGGCCTAGCTCCGAAATCACAGTTCTAACATTACTGCTCAAATCTAAACTTTTGTCACCAATTCTCATGTTCAACTGTTTCCTTGGCTTCTTCAAGCTCTAACAAAGCCTCAATCTTGGCCGTCTCAGCATTATGCACCTTCTCCTTCAACTTGTCCACCTCTTTTTCCCAGAAACAGATATTTGTCTCCTCCGCCAACACTCCCTGCAAATTGCAATCACAACCTCCTCCAGAGAAACCAGTGTTGAAGAGCTTCACCGCATCTTTAGCAGAATGAAAAGTTCCCATCTCGCTACCAAACTTCCACACCTCTAAGCATCAAGCCACCAGCTTCAACCCCAAACTTAATCTCTTTCGCTGCATAGTTTCTGCTCCAGCTCATTGTACTGGAAACCTCTCGAGTGTTGCTAGCAATCCTGAGAACAGAGAGAAAACGAGAAACCAAATCAATCGAAGAAATCGGGATAAAAGGAAGCAGATCTGAAGAGCCAATGAAGGAGACGAGACCAAAACCCATATCAATTGATTTCCCCATTTCCTTCAATTTTTAAGTAAACCTAATAGAAAACCGAATTACCAATACAAAGAAAATGAGTTCGTACCTTGCCTTGGAGGCGAGATTAGAAGCGACACGGTACATGGTGACTGAGAACGAAGTAGATGAACGATGGAGATGAGATGATGGAGATGAGACGATTCGGACGAGCGAACGAGATCGATGTAGAGAGGAAGAGTCGAGGACCGGAGGCATGAGAAACGGACCGATTTCTCACCAGAAATCGATGATTGCTTACAATCAACATCAAATCGCCAGATCGCCATGGAAGATCAACGGAGTAGAGAGAGGGAGGAGAGAGAACCGACAGAGAAAAATGAAGCAGAAAAAATGCGTTTTGTTTCTTCTCATTAAGGAAGAGCCAATCATCTTCTGCCACGTGGCACTTAAACGCGGACGCCTGTAACGCTCAAATACGCGTCGTATCCTTTTTTTTAATTTAGTTTCCATTTAATTTTGGGCGTAGCACTTAAAATTACCAACATTGAAGGAAATGTTGTTGGAGGGACTTGGGTCTGTGTGCCGTCCAAGTCTAAAAATATTCTCTGTATAAAGTTGGTAGATACAGTATGTCTTTGGCACGAAAAGTAATTACTGAAACGATTGTAATATGTTATTGTAGTACTTATTAGTAAGGTATAGGCCTCTGTTTTGAGTTTTTTGACTATGATGCGGAACTGATTAGTAAGGCATAAAATGTTATTAGTAAGGACTTGGGCCATTACTTTAAGGCCAATTTCAAAAAGTCAACTTATCAACCAATGACGATTAGGAAAGTGAAGAGATGGGATTGAAATACGAGACAGGAATAAATCGGAGACAACGAAACAGAGCATTGGGAGGTTTGATCCTAACTGATTTTCCATTACAGATCCGGTCCGAAGATGTCCGATCTTCCGAGGGAGATGGAGGAGGAGGTGCTGTCGAAGCTTCCGGTGACATCTCTGGGAGAAGTACGATCGACCTGCAAAAAGTGGAACAGCATAACGAAAGGTCATAGCTTTTTGAAGAGGCACATGGGTGAATCAGCAGAAGGAGCATCAAAGAAGAAGCAGAAGCAAAGGAAGGGAATTGAAATCAAGGTGGTGATGTTGCTGGAAAAGAGAGTGTCTTTGATGAGCGTCAATCTCCTCTATCCATCTATAGAGCCTATAGGTAATATCAACGCAGATGGAGTCGACATATCTAAAATCATTCACTGCGACGGTTTGTTCTTATGCATCACTGAAGAGGAAAACTCCTCTAGGGTTGTTGTGTTGAACCCTTATCTGGGACAAACAAGGTGGATCGAACCCAGAACTTCTTACCACAGATTCGACAGTTACGCTCTCGGATACGATAATAAGAAGAAGCACAAAGTCTTGAGATTTGTGAATGATTACGACCCGAGAGTCAAGCACCGAGTTTGCGAGTTTGAAATCTACAGTTTAGACTCCAACTCATGGAAGGTTGTTGATGTCGGTCCCGACCACGACTGGACCACTTCGTTTATCCTCCGTGGCTTGTCTCTAAAGGGCAACACTTACTGGTATGCTCGTGACAAGTTGGCATCAAGTAGGATAGATGTCGCTGATTTCCTAATCTGTTTTGATTTCGAAACGGAGAGGTTTGGACCGCGCCTGCCTCTGCCTTTCCACGGTCTCGTTGGAGACACGGTGACTCTTTCTAGCGTCAGAGAAGAGCAGCTCGCGGTGCTGTTTCAGGGAAACCGTGATCAGATCTATAATCTGATGATCGAGTCGATTCCATGATTATAAGTTCATTCCATACCGGACCAGACCGGACCGGAATGAGAAGGGGTCATTCGAGCGTATCTAAATAGATACTATGTTTACATAGGGATCCCTGCGTCGTTACATTCCATTTAGGATTAGGAATAGGCGAAATCTGACCTACTTTTTACATATCTCTCGTTATTTGGGACCCTATTCACCTCTTTGGTTAGACTTCTATTGAATCGAGAAATAGGTTTGATTGTCCTTTTTGATATAATATAAGTTCTACCTAGCTTGAATCGAGTTTTCCCGTATTGAGCATATGAGAGTATTGATTGCCATCTTATTTGATGTAGATATGAGAGTGAAAATAATACGACTCGCTCTAAGGCATCCTCCATGAGGGTGGGATAATTATCCAATTTATCCATAAAAGAACAGAAAACTATGAAAAGGTGAGTATGTATGCGCTGACTCGGTGCCCTCATAAACAATGAACTCGCAAACATGAGAGAAGCTCGCGGTGGTTCTTCATAAAGACAGAGGTAGTCCTGGCCCAACAACTCGCAACACGGCTTGCATCGTTGGAGATAATGGCTACTTCAAACAAGTTGATCTTGGCGAATCTAAACAGTATTGTTGTTTTCCCCTTGTGAGCTCTTATGTTCCTAGCTCAGTGCAAATCGAGCAACCTGCAATACTGGGCAGCCAGAAGAACACACCTTAATCTAAGAATTTGTACTCTAGTGCTTATATAACTGATTTACAACTGTTGGTTCCTCAACTCAACATAGCCTCTGCGTTCTTCTTTTTATTTTGTTATGTCCATTCAAAATACTGTACAAGCTTTTCCCTTGAAAGCTTTTTTAATTAGCTGAGAAGAAAAGAGTGTTGCTGCCCTTCTTAACTCTTTTTTAGCCACCTGACTTGTCCTGTACATTTTTGTTCTGTTTTAAATCTGTTGGTTTGGTGGTTGTGCCAAGAACTCGATTTTGTTCTTCTTAGGGACTTAAAATTCTCATCATTGAAGGAGATGTTGTTGGAGGGACTTGGGTCTGTGTGCCGTCCAAATCTGTTGTTGCTTTGCTGTAGTGGCAGAATGCAGGAACTCCAAAGGACTCCTACTGTATTTCTCCACTCCAAGTATTCTCTGTATAAAGTTGTTAGATATGTCTTTGGTAATTACTGAAACGATTGTTTAAGCTAAAGTTTGAAGCTAATGAACCAGTGTACTCATTCTGGCCTTTAGTTGGTTCCCTTGGAAAACAGGTTGGTTATGATCAGATGGTTGTGGCAGACCATGCTAATAAGTAATAACCACCAAAATTTGAAACAACATTAGAGCTATTTATGCATTGAGTAAGAACATTTGCTTTTCATATTTATGTAGAAGTGGAAGTGGAACATCCTTCCTACGTGATTAGTGATGCTGTTTTCAATAATTTGATTAGAGGATAATATGTAGATTAGTGTCGTTTTTGTCTTTTCTGGTAATTTCAGTTTCATTGTAATGGGCCTCCACCTGTGAATTGAGACAAACTGTAAACAAAATGTATACAATGCAAGCAGTGAGCTGTTCGGTGCCTTCTGTTTTGAGTCTTTTGAGTCTCTTTGCATTGCACCTCTTCATCAGTAGTGGAAAATGCGACTGGCTTGACAACAAGCATGCTGTCGTTGTCAGTTTTCCTCCATTAAATTCTTACTTCTCCTTTGTGGTGGTGGTAACTGAGATTTGCGTTGATAACAAAAAGGATCTCAAAAGCTATAATTAGCGAGGAAGAGGCATTGAGTCATGAATCCGTTTGCACATACTTGGTATTAGTGTTGTTATGACTCATTGCTTTATTGGTCGTGCGGAAGATTGAGAACGTGGCTATTGTAATTACAGAGTTTGAGGAGGTGAGAAATGTTTAACCATCACTTAACCTCGTGTAAACTTTGGTTAGAGATCAATAACTTGCTAGTGATAGAAATATATTCATTCCTATTTACTAAAGTATGTAAACTGTCATAAGCAAAGGAACTAAAAAGAAAGACATATTCACAAATTCATTCCTATTTGCTAAAGTATGTAAACGTCATAAGCAAAGGAACTAAAAAGAAAGACACATTCACAAGTCTCATCTCACAACATGTTCAAAAACTAAACAATTGACTACATATCTGTGTTAACATGTTCAAAAACAAAACAATTGACTACAATCTGTGTTTTTGTTCTGATACACATACTCGGAATCCATGCTTTCTTCAAGTGTTTGTAACAATGGGTAGCTGGATCAGAAAGGGATAAATCACATAAGCTGAATCAATCTTTGAAAGAAAATTGCATAAGTGTATAGAGAGATCAATTACCTTGTCAGGTAAGAAGGTAACTACGCTTATCTTTTTCCAAGGCCTTCACTTTGGTGGTCATACCATCAATCAGTTTTGTCCAGAATATCCTGCCCGCTTAAACCTTCCTCTTTAGCCTTGTCGACTTCACCATCTCTGCTAGCAAGAATATCAGACTGAGCAATATCACCTGCAAAAGGAAAATTTGTCACTAAACACCAGATGAATGATGGCTTCTCAAAATGAATGTTAATTGGAGCTAAACCAGGAAAAGCACATTGGGGCAAACTTCTAAAAACTAGGCATGCTAAAGTAAGAATCTTGGAGAAAAGTAGATTACTGAAAACTATTCCAAAGCATGTGTAAAACTATAAAAACTCACCAGGAATTTTGCTCTCAGCTTTCTCTGCGCGTTTTATTTTTTTGTGCGCTCCTCTAACAGCACTGAAACGATTTCCCTCCTGTTAAGCGAGCAAAACACAAAAAAAAAGAAAACGATTTTCCGTCATACAAACAACTGTAGGAAACATATAAATTCAGATACTCTCTAATAGTTTCTATGATCTTAAAGCAGAAAGTGTAGTCACCTTTTCACAGTCATCAATCCTTCTTTCTTCGTTCTTCTTAAACACCCGTTTCCGTTTCTTCATTTCGCTGGACTTCAGGGGATTCAGTGTCTTCACTTCAACTTCAGCCTATGACCATTATACAGTAGAAGACATAAGAATACTTTGATACTCGCTGACTCAGAGAGATTACACTAGAATCTCATTACCTCTTGGAGAATGTCAAGACCGTCACATCCTTCGCTGGACTTCAGGGGATTCAATGTCTTCACTTCAACTTCAGCCTATGACCATTAAACAGTAGAAGACATAAGAAAACTTTGATACTCGCTGACTCAGAGAGATCACAATAGAATCCCATTACCTCTTGGAGAATGTCAAGACCGCCACATCCTTCGCTGGACTTCATTTCGCTGGACTTCAGGGGATTCGGATTCAGTGTTTTCACTTCATCTTCAGCCTATGACCATTAAACAGTAGAAGACATAAGAAAACTTTGATACTCGCTGACTCAGAGAGATCACACTAGAATCCCATTACCTCTTGGAGAATGTCAAGACCGCCACATACTTTTTCCAAGGCATCATCACGTAGATCAGAATGTAAACTACTTAGAGAAGCGGCAGCCGCAGGAGCAATATCGGTAGCAGGGTGGTCAACTGCAAGATCCATGGCCCAAGCAGCTGCAGCGACAGGAGCAGCAATATCAGGAGGATAGTCATCACCATCTTCGGCAGCTTCTTCAAATTCGTCTCCACTACCCCCGTCTCCATCATCGTCGTCTCCACCACTCCCGTCATCATCATCGTCCTCTCCGTCATAGTAATCATCGTCGTCTTCATCAGGGTCTTCAACTTCTTCTTCAACATCTTGAGCATTGACTTCCTCGTGTATTACCCGATAGTGAACTAGGCAGTGATTCTGAAAGTTTGCCGACGCATACCTCCTTCTTTCAAGAGTCCTCTTCACTGGAAGAGTTTCAAAGACATTGTACGAAGCTCTGCACAAGATGACTACTTCTCTGACCACTTCGTTGTCCTCCCAAGCAACAACGGCATCTTCTTCATCCCATTCTAATTCATCTATATTGCCATCACTTCCATAGAGGTACAATCCTTCTGGAGATGTCTTGATCGGTTCAGTTGAAATTTGGAGTTGATCACCAGATTCAAATAGGGTCTTGACATCGTCGTAAGAAAACCATTCATTCCAAGAGCTCTCTATGATGTTTGCTAGATTTTCATCTAAAGAAAGAAAAAAACTATAGTTATCTTTCTAATGGAGGCGGTTTCAATTCCTAAATAATACAAATCGAAGACGGAGAAAAATCTTCCGTACCTGTGTAATCCTGGTGCTGCAAGTTGACCGCCATGGCACAAAGACCTAGAAAATAAAATCAGCACCAAGACCTTAGCGATCAGATATGATTCGAATCTCAAAATTCGTGGATTCCGGAAGAACAAGGATGATGAGCAAATAAAGAGATCACAAGAAATTATGAGGAAGAAGACGCTTACGAAGACTTCAAGTTCTCGATCACGCTTACGAGTTACGATTGTTGTTGCAGGTTTCGCGAAGAAGATGATCACAAGAAATTCGCAGCAGGAGGACGCATTTGATCTCTCTCCCTCTCAGATTGTGATTCTCTGCAAAGACTTCAAGTTCTCAATCACGCTTACGAGTTACGATTGTTGTTGCAGGTTTCGCGAAGAACAATGAGGAAAATGAAGAGGATCACAAGCAATTCGCAGCAGGAGGAGGCATTTCAACTTCTCAATCTCTCGATGATGGATTTTGATCTCTCTCCCTCTCAGCTTCACTGTGTTCGTCTCTTTATCCCTCTTCAAGCTTTTCTCTCTCGCGCGCGGTGTTGTGATTCTCTGCAAGTTGCAGACTGTAACAACTTCTGTTACTGATAAACCAATAAGGGATTTTAAAAAAAATGAAAAAGAAAAAAAAAGAAGAAAAGGTAAACCAAGAAGTATTGGGCCTTAAGTCAGGTGGATTTATATCGACTGTTTCTTTATGGGCCTCAAGCCCAAGTCTTCGAGCGGTAAGAGCTCCTTCTTTGCATTATCGGTTTCCTTGTTCAGCTCCTCAACGGCTTTGATCCCTCTGTCTCTGCTCATTCTCTTTAAGCCGTGAATGCTCTCTCTTCACGTTTTGAAGCTCGAGCCTAAAAGACTCCATCAATACACACAATTCAGTCTCCTCTTCAGTCTTCAGCTACTCTGTGAAGCGATTCCTTAGCAACGCCTAGCTCAGAAGTCACAACTCTCTCATTACTACTCAAATATAAACCCTTGTCAGCATTTCTCATATTCTGCCAAATTCCCGATTCACTCTCTTCTTCGGCTACTCTTTCAAGCAATTCCTTAGCAAGGCCTAGCTCCGAAATCACAGTTCTAACATTACTGCTCAAATCTAAACTTTTGTCACCAATTCTCATGTTCAACTGTTTCCTTGGCTTCTTCAAGCTCTAACAAAGCCTCAATCTTGGCCGTCTCAGCATTATGCACCTTCTCCTTCAACTTGTCCACCTCTTTTTCCCAGAAACAGATATTTGTCTCCTCCGCCAACACTCCCTGCAAATTGCAATCACAACCTCCTCCAGAGAAACCAGTGTTGAAGAGCTTCACCGCATCTTTAGCAGAATGAAAAGTTCCCATCTCGCTACCAAACTTCCACACCTCTAAGCATCAAGCCACCAGCTTCAACCCCAAACTTAATCTCTTTCGCTGCATAGTTTCTGCTCCAGCTCATTGTACTGGAAACCTCTCGAGTGTTGCTAGCAATCCTGAGAACAGAGAGAAAACGAGAAACCAAATCAATCGAAGAAATCGGGATAAAAGGAAGCAGATCTGAAGAGCCAATGAAGGAGACGAGACCAAAACCCATATCAATTGATTTCCCCATTTCCTTCAATTTTTAAGTAAACCTAATAGAAAACCGAATTACCAATACAAAGAAAATGAGTTCGTACCTTGCCTTGGAGGCGAGATTAGAAGCGACACGGTACATGGTGACTGAGAACGAAGTAGATGAACGATGGAGATGAGATGATGGAGATGAGACGATTCGGACGAGCGAACGAGATCGATGTAGAGAGGAAGAGTCGAGGACCGGAGGCATGAGAAACGGACCGATTTCTCACCAGAAATCGATGATTGCTTACAATCAACATCAAATCGCCAGATCGCCATGGAAGATCAACGGAGTAGAGAGAGGGAGGAGAGAGAACCGACAGAGAAAAATGAAGCAGAAAAAATGCGTTTTGTTTCTTCTCATTAAGGAAGAGCCAATCATCTTCTGCCACGTGGCACTTAAACGCGGACGCCTGTAACGCTCAAATACGCGTCGTATCCTTTTTTTTAATTTAGTTTCCATTTAATTTTGGGCGTAGCACTTAAAATTACCAACATTGAAGGAAATGTTGTTGGAGGGACTTGGGTCTGTGTGCCGTCCAAGTCTAAAAATATTCTCTGTATAAAGTTGGTAGATACAGTATGTCTTTGGCACGAAAAGTAATTACTGAAACGATTGTAATATGTTATTGTAGTACTTATTAGTAAGGTATAGGCCTCTGTTTTGAGTTTTTTGACTATGATGCGGAACTGATTAGTAAGGCATAAAATGTTATTAGTAAGGACTTGGGCCATTACTTTAAGGCCAATTTCAAAAAGTCAACTTATCAACCAATGACGATTAGGAAAGTGAAGAGATGGGATTGAAATACGAGACAGGAATAAATCGGAGACAACGAAACAGAGCATTGGGAGGTTTGATCCTAACTGATTTTCCATTACAGATCCGGTCCGAAGATGTCCGATCTTCCGAGGGAGATGGAGGAGGAGGTGCTGTCGAAGCTTCCGGTGACATCTCTGGGAGAAGTACGATCGACCTGCAAAAAGTGGAACAGCATAACGAAAGGTCATAGCTTTTTGAAGAGGCACATGGGTGAATCAGCAGAAGGAGCATCAAAGAAGAAGCAGAAGCAAAGGAAGGGAATTGAAATCAAGGTGGTGATGTTGCTGGAAAAGAGAGTGTCTTTGATGAGCGTCAATCTCCTCTATCCATCTATAGAGCCTATAGGTAATATCAACGCAGATGGAGTCGACATATCTAAAATCATTCACTGCGACGGTTTGTTCTTATGCATCACTGAAGAGGAAAACTCCTCTAGGGTTGTTGTGTTGAACCCTTATCTGGGACAAACAAGGTGGATCGAACCCAGAACTTCTTACCACAGATTCGACAGTTACGCTCTCGGATACGATAATAAGAAGAAGCACAAAGTCTTGAGATTTGTGAATGATTACGACCCGAGAGTCAAGCACCGAGTTTGCGAGTTTGAAATCTACAGTTTAGACTCCAACTCATGGAAGGTTGTTGATGTCGGTCCCGACCACGACTGGACCACTTCGTTTATCCTCCGTGGCTTGTCTCTAAAGGGCAACACTTACTGGTATGCTCGTGACAAGTTGGCATCAAGTAGGATAGATGTCGCTGATTTCCTAATCTGTTTTGATTTCGAAACGGAGAGGTTTGGACCGCGCCTGCCTCTGCCTTTCCACGGTCTCGTTGGAGACACGGTGACTCTTTCTAGCGTCAGAGAAGAGCAGCTCGCGGTGCTGTTTCAGGGAAACCGTGCGCCTGTATACACGGTCGAGATATGGATTAGTAGTAAGATTGAGCCGAATGCAGTGTCGTGGAGCAGCTTGTTCTTAGCTGTTGATATGAGACCACTCATTGGTGTTCGGTTTAACAATTACGCTGCGAGTTTCTTTGTTGACGAGGAGGAGAAGCTCGCGGTGGTTCTTCATAAAGACAGAGGTAGTCCTGGCCCAACAACTCGCAACACGGCTTGCATCGTTGGAGATAATGGCTACTTCAAACAAGTTGATCTTGGCGAATCTAAACAGTATTGTTGTTTTCCCCTTGTGAGCTCTTATGTTCCTAGCTCAGTGCAAATCGAGCAACCTGCAATACTGGGCAGCCAGAAGAACACACCTTAATCTAAGAATTTGTACTCTAGTGCTTATATAACTGATTTACAACTGTTGGTTCCTCAACTCAACATAGCCTCTGCGTTCTTCTTTTTATTTTGTTATGTCCATTCAAAATACTGTACAAGCTTTTCCCTTGAAAGCTTTTTTAATTAGCTGAGAAGAAAAGAGTGTTGCTGCCCTTCTTAACTCTTTTTTAGCCACCTGACTTGTCCTGTACATTTTTGTTCTGTTTTAAATCTGTTGGTTTGGTGGTTGTGCCAAGAACTCGATTTTGTTCTTCTTAGGGACTTAAAATTCTCATCATTGAAGGAGATGTTGTTGGAGGGACTTGGGTCTGTGTGCCGTCCAAATCTGTTGTTGCTTTGCTGTAGTGGCAGAATGCAGGAACTCCAAAGGACTCCTACTGTATTTCTCCACTCCAAGTATTCTCTGTATAAAGTTGTTAGATATGTCTTTGGTAATTACTGAAACGATTGTTTAAGCTAAAGTTTGAAGCTAATGAACCAGTGTACTCATTCTGGCCTTTAGTTGGTTCCCTTGGAAAACAGGTTGGTTATGATCAGATGGTTGTGGCAGACCATGCTAATAAGTAATAACCACCAAAATTTGAAACAACATTAGAGCTATTTATGCATTGAGTAAGAACATTTGCTTTTCATATTTATGTAGAAGTGGAAGTGGAACATCCTTCCTACGTGATTAGTGATGCTGTTTTCAATAATTTGATTAGAGGATAATATGTAGATTAGTGTCGTTTTTGTCTTTTCTGGTAATTTCAGTTTCATTGTAATGGGCCTCCACCTGTGAATTGAGACAAACTGTAAACAAAATGTATACAATGCAAGCAGTGAGCTGTTCGGTGCCTTCTGTTTTGAGTCTTTTGAGTCTCTTTGCATTGCACCTCTTCATCAGTAGTGGAAAATGCGACTGGCTTGACAACAAGCATGCTGTCGTTGTCAGTTTTCCTCCATTAAATTCTTACTTCTCCTTTGTGGTGGTGGTAACTGAGATTTGCGTTGATAACAAAAAGGATCTCAAAAGCTATAATTAGCGAGGAAGAGGCATTGAGTCATGAATCCGTTTGCACATACTTGGTATTAGTGTTGTTATGACTCATTGCTTTATTGGTCGTGCGGAAGATTGAGAACGTGGCTATTGTAATTACAGAGTTTGAGGAGGTGAGAAATGTTTAACCATCACTTAACCTCGTGTAAACTTTGGTTAGAGATCAATAACTTGCTAGTGATAGAAATATATTCATTCCTATTTACTAAAGTATGTAAACTGTCATAAGCAAAGGAACTAAAAAGAAAGACATATTCACAAATTCATTCCTATTTGCTAAAGTATGTAAACGTCATAAGCAAAGGAACTAAAAAGAAAGACACATTCACAAGTCTCATCTCACAACATGTTCAAAAACTAAACAATTGACTACATATCTGTGTTAACATGTTCAAAAACAAAACAATTGACTACAATCTGTGTTTTTGTTCTGATACACATACTCGGAATCCATGCTTTCTTCAAGTGTTTGTAACAATGGGTAGCTGGATCAGAAAGGGATAAATCACATAAGCTGAATCAATCTTTGAAAGAAAATTGCATAAGTGTATAGAGAGATCAATTACCTTGTCAGGTAAGAAGGTAACTACGCTTATCTTTTTCCAAGGCCTTCACTTTGGTGGTCATACCATCAATCAGTTTTGTCCAGAATATCCTGCCCGCTTAAACCTTCCTCTTTAGCCTTGTCGACTTCACCATCTCTGCTAGCAAGAATATCAGACTGAGCAATATCACCTGCAAAAGGAAAATTTGTCACTAAACACCAGATGAATGATGGCTTCTCAAAATGAATGTTAATTGGAGCTAAACCAGGAAAAGCACATTGGGGCAAACTTCTAAAAACTAGGCATGCTAAAGTAAGAATCTTGGAGAAAAGTAGATTACTGAAAACTATTCCAAAGCATGTGTAAAACTATAAAAACTCACCAGGAATTTTGCTCTCAGCTTTCTCTGCGCGTTTTATTTTTTTGTGCGCTCCTCTAACAGCACTGAAACGATTTCCCTCCTGTTAAGCGAGCAAAACACAAAAAAAAAGAAAACGATTTTCCGTCATACAAACAACTGTAGGAAAGATAACTAGATGGACCCATACTTACCCAAACATGGATTAATAGGTTCTACACATGACTATGAGGACAAACATGAGTGAAACGGTCTCAATCCAAGGGAGGAACATCAAATGGACCTAATTTGGGAACCGGAAGAGGTAAGGAGTCCGAAATGTACCTCTGTGACTCCACATTGTGGAAACTCACTTGTAGTGTATAAGATGAACTAGATGGACCCATACTTACCCAAACATGGATTAATAGGTTCTACACATGACTATGAGGACAAACATGAGTGAAACGGTCTCAATCCAAGGGAGGAACATCAAATGGACCTAATTTGGGAACCAGAAGAGGTAAGGAGTCCGAAATGTACCTCTGTGACTCCACATTGTGGAAACTCACTTGTAGTGTATAAGATGAACTAGATGGACCCATACTTACCCAAACATGGATTAATAGGTTCTACACATGACTATGAGGACAAACATGAGTGAAACGGTCTCAATCCAAGGGAGGAACATCAAATGGACCTAATTTGGGAACCGGAAGAGGTAAGGAGTCCGAAATGTACCTCTGTGACTCCACATTGTGGAAACTCACTTGTAGTGTATAAGATGAACTAGATGGACCCATACTTACCCAAACATGGATTAATAGGTTCTACATACATACACATGACTATGAGGACAAACATGAGTGAAACGGTCTCAATCCAAGGGAGGAACATCAAATGGACCTAATTTGGGAACCGGAAGAGGTAAGGAGTCCGAAATGTACCTCTGTGACTCCACATTGTGGAAACTCACTTGTAGTGTATAAGATGAACTAGATGGACCCATACTTACCAAACATGGATTAATAGGTTCTACACATGACTATGAGGACAAACATGAGTGAAACGGTCTCAATCCAAGGGAGGAACATCAAATGGACCTAATTTGGGAACCGGAAGAGGTAAGGAGTCCGAAATGTACCTCTGTGACTCCACATTGTGGAAACTCACTTGTAGTGTATAAGATGAACTAGATGGACCCATACTTATCCAAACATGGATTAATAGGTTCTACACATGACTATGAGGACAAACATGAGTGAAACGGTCTCAATCCAAGGGAGGAACATCAAATGGACCTAATTTGGGAACCGGAAGAGGTAAGGAGTCCGAAATATACCTCTGTGACTCCACATTGAGGAAACTCACTTGTAGTGCATAAGATGAACTAGATGGACCCATACTTACCCAAACATGGATTAATAGGTCTCA